ATATAATCGTCCCGGCAATGGACCCCGGTTCCAGAAACTCGGATAAGTAACCGTCTCCAGGGATCTGGGTACTTAACCAATGTCTACACCGTGTTCGTCGAATGCTCGGTAGCTCGTAATGATGTATGAACGCGGGCGCGAGGAAATATACCAGGAGAGAGATCCGCATCGGTAGGAGATAACCTATCCAAAATTAGTGTCGTAATTGCACTTGCCTCCCTCGGGGTCCGACAATTAATTTCCCTCCCACGAGCGGCTACTCGAAATCCGTCCTATGTAAAAACCCTCCGCCCCCGCGGCTCTCGGAAGCCGGCTCGTCGATTTAATAATAGCCCCGTAAATCCGGCTTTACGGGAACGGCCGAGTTAACAGTCCCGCGAAGGGTGTTACCGTTAATCGGAAAAGGTGTCCATTGTTCAGCCTTCCTAACCGTTTCACGCCTAACGCGTTCCTGAAAGCCGGCAACAAACGCGCCTCCACCCACGCGGCTCGTTCACCGCAGCTATCTACATTCTAGTCGTTAGTCTCTCTCTGACTCGATATCATGGACCTGGGGATATAAAGAACTAAGGATAAAGTCAGGTTACAGAGGCGACAAAACCTTAAACCACGTGTATAATGATTACCCCGCAAAGTAACATGAGGGGTAATCATGGAAATGATAATTCAAGCCCGGAATGGCGTATGGAAGAATTTCCAGGAGAGGACGCGTGGGTTGGGCTCTAGTTTAACCCTTCCGGGATCGAAGGTCGCCTCTGTAGATCCCAGCCGAGGTAGAACCTCGTTAACGTTGGCGAGCCAAGACCAGAAGAAATTCTAGTGCCGGAGAAGGCGCGTCCTTTCGAGAGTGGATCTTGTTTTGCAGCGCGCTAAGCCTAGGTAGAGCGCACTCCACCTTGTGCCATTACCGCTATGAAATTAGCCTTGCGCACCGATGGATGATCGGCAGACTCGCGGCAACGCTAAACCCGGGTACTAAAGTTTAGAGGAAAAATTCCCACCCGAGCAAGAGCTAAGATAATGGCCTAGCTAACGCATGGGCGGACAACAATAATACCTTGCTCCCTCGGTAATATGCAAATCCCAACAAAGCGCATACCTGCGAAGCCAGTTACAGCGACAACTTCGCGCTGGACACTTTAAGGGGGATGTGAAAGTGCCATCAGGCAAAATAATGGAAAAGAATTATTAACGAGCGATATTACAGGTGCAGAGAGGTAATTTGAAAAATGAACCAGTCAATGGCTCGGTTATTTGCGTTTTGCCGAACTCCCGCTCGTTCAAGGTGGAGGGATCCCAAGGAGAAAGAGAACCGCCCGACTAGAGACGTCTCGACAACAGGAAGTCGGGGCTCTTTTACGGGTCGGCGAGAGACTTTGGGCAAGAGGAGGAACGAGGAGGAGAAAAGAAAAAAAAAAAAAATACCAGTAAACTCCATTTTGAGCCGGTCACGGTTTCCTGGCTAGGGTTCGCGTGCAGAAGGTAGAAACGAAGGGATCGGACGAGGTTGTACAATGCCGAGGAAGTCGCCGGTTACAGGGGAATCCGTTGTGCCGTGTACAGGTGCGCTTCACACGTGCATCGGGGTGATTCACAGGGACTAGGCCCTTGCGAACGACTTCCCCCGTCGTTGCTGACCCAGGACGAACTTCCTTCTTTTTTTTTTTTTTTTTTTTAAGGTTAGGTTTCGAGTCCGTTTAAGTGCGAGCGCTTTCCTGGATTCAGTTTTCGCGTTACGCCCGAGGGCCGAGAGGTGTCGCCACCGGTAGTTGGGAGATGTATCGCGTATCCGATCTGTCGTGCGAACACGGCTTAATGCCCTTGGAAAAGGAGGACTTAATTAAAGCCGGCGCTCTCTTTTTTTTCTTCCTCTCTTTCCTCTTGGGCTGAGTTATTGCCGCCGCGACGCGCCCACGTGGCCGATCCCGACCGATCTTGGAAGCGGCTAGGGTTACTGGCGTCGCCTCGTGTCATAATCGATAAGAGAGCCCTCTCGGACGGGTGTGTAATGGATTGCAGTTTCGCGGCAGATTAATTGCCTACTTCGCGGTCTACGGTGGTTAGGGATTTTTTTCACGCCGCCGGAGAGCAAGAAAACCACCAGGGACCGCGGCCCGCGATTGGCCAATGCGACGGGTTGCGAGACCAACTCGGGAGATCCTAGGGACTTTCGTGGTGGCGCTACGGTTACGGTCTCTCGAATCTCCCACCGCTCTTTAAAACACATTTTATATTCCCTTTGCCTTGTTTTATCCGGCCATTAGTTATTTCACTCCCTAAAACGGGTCGCAACTCTAAGTACGGCGAATTTACGGTGATGGATGACGGATATACGATGTATACACGGGCGCGCCACCTCGCATCGAATTTTCCTGATTTCTTGAGTTAATGTAGGAATTTCGGGGTGCAGTTTGGTGGGATAGCTAGGGTGCGGTGGCACGGAAGTCGCCATGGTGCTCGATTCGTTCCCGAGTGGTTTAATCGAGAGCTGAGGGCGTTAGTTCCTCGGTTCGCCGTCGCGGCCGGTGATCGGCAGGGCTCGGTGGGAGCCTCCGGGCCAGAGTTACGGTTCGCCGGTTTTTGCCGAGCGGACATTCCTGCAAGAGAGAAATCAACCTGCGCCGACTTTAGATCAGGGGAACCCGGGGGATGACCCTTCCTAGGGCCCGGGAACGGTACGGGCCCCGAAGGTGGCCGTAAAACGTTAGTAACTGGCTAGTAACTTCAGCTCTGCCGCTAATTTCGCCGTGATTTCTTAAAGGGCACTCCGTTACGGCCGATTTATGCGGCCATCTTCCGGCCCGGAGCCTGTCGGAAGGCCGGTGAGCATCCAATTAGGTAGCGGGTTCCCCTAAGGAAGCAACTAGGGTCCTTTCACCCCAGAGGAGCGGAATAATCCCCTAGGTGCTCTCCGATGAGCGGTAAACTCCTGGATCGATCGGTGCACCCGGGAGAGACCGTTCACTCCGTGAGTGGCCCTTCCACTCTTCGCTTCGGTTAAGATCAAGGGGCGGTGGAGTCACGCGCCAAGTGCATGCACTTAGCCTCTAGGAAGTCGACCATTTCCCTCGAAATTGGGCCCCGCTCGTTACCGGGGAATATATTCCCCGGCGGTTTCACCAGAACCGCGCCGTGGGTCAAGGTGAAGCCGCGGTAGTCCCGCGCCAAGTACACCCACGTAATATCTGGGAGGTCCGTTACCGGGACGAAATTATCCTCCGCCAAATTATCCTTTGCCTAGCGGGGTAATACGTAAAACACGCTTTCCTGGCTCGACCTCGACTCGCGACGCGGTCGCGCCGCGCGGTAGAGTCCCGCGCCAAGTACCCATGTCGGACCTCATGTGTATGAAATCGAGAAGGACCTCTTCGGGGTGCAACTTCGGACCCTACCGAGAACCTTGTCGGCTGGAATAAAGCCACGCTGAATAATTCAGTCAGTGACCGTATCGCGTGACGTCATCGTAGTATTCAACCAGTGGACGGTTCAGGCCGAGTGGCCATGCGGAACTCCATCCGCTCGGAGCGGCGACGACGTAGGGGATTTCTACGGAAAGCTGAAAATTTCAATCCCACTTGTTGCACCGCCGACGAAGAAACCTGGGGAACGGCCGTTCGCGATTTCGACGAATCGCCGTCGGATTTTCTACTTCCCACCGATCTAACCTACAAAACATTGCGACAAATTCCCCGCTTACCCCTTTTCCACGGTCTACATTTATTCCGGGGAATTTCTTTCATTTTTTTTTCCCCGTTCCTTCGTGCCATTTTCTTCCGTCGCGATTGTAGAGGTCGAGAGACATCGACGTTTGCGAAATGGACACGTCTCGGGACTTTCGCGAGGAAGTCGGGGCTCGTCCTTGGACCGGATATCCTCTTTTTTTCACGGCAGTCCTGCCTGAGATATCCTCCTCGGGCCGCCGGATATCTCGCAATCGGCCCTTCCATCTTGTTCTCGCCATTGTATGGAGATTCCTGAACGAAATCCCCTCCTTGGGTGCGTCCTCGGTTTCCTCTTTTTCCCCACCAAAAAGACCCAACTGGTTCTTCCTTCCCTCTCACCAGAAACGACGAGATCGATCCTTTGCTCCTTCCTAGGGAAATTGGTGCCGCCGGAAACTCCGATTTTCGTCCTTATAGCTACCCAAGTGGATCGACGAGACCACCTTGAAGAGGTCCCCGAAGTGGTCCTTGCCCGCCGATTATCGCGATTCGGTTCCGGATCTCGAAACTGGTTAAAGCTCTATCGAGCACCTCTTCGGGGTCCAGAGACCCTGGACAAGAGAAAGGACCCGGCCTCGCCGATGGAATTCCTTCCCGGGGCCCGACCTTCGACGAAACCTTCATAAAGGGTAGATAACTCTTAATCACCAAGATCGGTAATATGTCCCGGGTTTTTAATCGAAAGTCGTATCCGTGGATTTTTCTTGGGCGGATTAAAGGAGAGGCTGGCGGGGAACCGGCTCCTCCAATCCCGATTTTCCTTCCTCCAGGGTCGCCTCCTTCCTCGTCGGAGTCCTCTCCTGGTTGCGTGATCGAGATACGATCTAGAGACCGCTACGGATGAGGTGTCGAGATATATATCCCATCCCCGAGACGCGGTGCCGAGGAGTGATAGAAAACCCGTGGAAGGACCCAGGTCCTGGAAAAGGTGTCCTGGTTTTCCGGACCCTCTGTTTCTCCACCTCTACCCCTGGAGTCGTTCCAGTTCTTGAGTTCAGGCCCTTGGCTCGAAGTTTCGCAATTAATTCGTACGCTTCTTCGGAGACGATGGATCGTAAATTGATCTAGGAGGATCGAACAGGATATCGAGTCTCCTCAATGGCGAGGCACGTGTCGCCATTGAGGGGGATCCTTTGGGGAGCGATGATAGCAGGATCGAGGTTACGGTTTCCTCCTACGCGTTCCAGAGTAGTCTTCTTTCACGGTCGGTGGCCTGCCGTGGAAATCCGAGATGCATCCTCTTATCCTCGTTTTAACGACTCGGTGTTCTCGTTGCAGCAATGCCAGACCCTGACGGAGGAGAACCGAAGGCTGCAGAACGCCCTGTCGACGAGCCAGGCGTCCCACGTACAAGTCATCGACAATGTCTGTCTGCAGACGCAGGTGGACACGCTCCAGTGGCAGCTCAAACAGGTAAGGATCGAATCCTAAGTTTCCTAAAAAAGGGAGAAAAAAAAAAGACAGCACGGTCTCCAGGATGCACTTCAGGATAGTCATCAAGACGTCGTTCAGCGCGAGAATCGGAGTTTCCTCCTTTAATTTTACATTAACAAATCGTTAGATATTAAATTGGTAATCTGGATCAAGGGAGTCGTCGCGCTGATGGTTGTCGATTTTCTTTTAGACCGAAGCGAATCGCCAGATGTACCGGTCGTTGATGGAGCAGGTGGTGCGTTTCCTGGACCGGACGAGGAAGAGTCTGGACATCCTCCACGAGAAGACCAACCCGAAGGACAAGCTTCGAGTTCCTCGCAGCCGCAGCGTCCACGCGGTCCATTGCGAAGAGGCTCACCACAGGTCAGGGAACCCCAACGTTTCCGGGGTTCCCCCGAGTTCCACGTCCAGGTTCACCAGGGCGAAGTCGGTCACTCAGATCTCGCCGAGCGGCAGCGGCTTCAGGGAGTTCACCTGGTCGGTCCTGCGCAGGAACGACCCCGTGAATTGTACGTCGCCGCGCAACAATAAGCCTACTCGGCAGGACCTGAACAAGACCCACGAAGGGGTCATCTACAGGCACCCCAAGCAGGTGGAGATGGACCCTGACGACATTCCCCCGGAGAAGCTGTCGCAGGAGGCTTTCAGGCTGATGAGGACCGTCCAGTCTCTCCTGGCCATGAGGGAGCCGGATCTCGCCAGGGTGTCCATGGCGGAGAACAACACTTGCCACGTGGACAGGGACGCGTCCTTGCAGCCCAACTTTGCCAACTCCACGGCCATGCAGGACTCCTTCGGTGGGTGTCCACGTAAAAAAATTAAAAGAATATAGACATTCGCAGTCCTGGGCCAAACGTATTGCCTTGCTGCTAATAGCGGGGATAGTCTGCAGAGCTTGTGTTAAGAAGTTAATCCAATTGTCTTTTTGTCATTGTTGTCGATTAGTCCCAGGGTTCGCGGATGCCGAGGCAGGTGGGGATTTTCTTCTGACCCGACTGAGAATGATTTTTTTTTTTTCTGCTCGCAGGCGGCGAGTTGGAGAGGTCCGGGTACGTGAAGGGGAACGACGACAGAGGTAATCCATTGTTGCCGGGGACTCGCAGATCCTTGGACGCCACGTCCCTGAATTCGGGGAGCAGTAAGACCACGGAAACCACCACTACCACCGAGGAGGACGACGCGGCCGTTCCCGGGATCCTGGGCCCCATTGAGAGGGAGTTCATGGGGACTCCCACGTCCACTCCCATCAGAAAGAAGAGGCAAGAAAAGGAGGTCGTCCGGATGAGGTCCAAGCCCGCTACCAGCGTCAGCAGTGCCGAGGACGAGAGTGGGTTCTCGTCCATGAGCTCTTTCCAGGAAGTCGGACTTCCTGGGGGGATCTCGCCCATTAAGGGCTGCCACACGGAAGTCGGCCTCCCGGAGATCCCTCTGGATAAAGTTCGGCACAGAAGGTGGACGTCGACCCCCTCGGAAATTCAGACGCTTTTCAAGAGGCACAGCACCAGCTTCGTCGGCAACCAACCCACCACGGAATCTTTCAGTGTTTGGGTCTAATTATTTTTTAAAGTCGAGGCTAACTACTCGTATACGGGACCATTTAGGTCCAGGGGTTCCCACGTTATCTCCGGGTGAATCCCAATTTTTATGAGGCACGGTACGAGTCTAATGGGGGGCCGTTATTAAATCTCTTAGTTTTCGGACCTAGCATGTGAAAGGAGCAATTAGATCTTGCGGGTTTGGATACAAAAAAAAAAAAATCTCGCAAAGAATGGGAAAAGTCCGGACCTGGATAAAAGATCCTTTAACTCCCACGCCAGCCTGCAATGGAGTCTATTTCTTTTTAAGAGTAATTGTAGACTATGGAAACGTTTCACGTGGTGTCTTTACTTCTTGGGTCGATTAAAGAAGGAAGCCTTGATCGTGCACGTCATTTTTTTTTTTTTTTCTTTTGCCTTCTTTCGTGAATACTTCGTTACTATTGTACATAGCTTGTATACCGTCGTTTTGTACCAACTAATTTGCGATACATTTGTAATTTTTTCCATTACTCTAAGCTCGTGGCTGATATACTGAGCCGATCGCGCGATTTAGATGGTAGAATTGACTGTAAGTTATTCGTCGAGGAGGGCGGAATTTCTTCTTTTTTTCTTTCTCTCCTTTTCACTGTACTTCATTCGTAGTAATCATTTTTCCCCCTTTCTAGCGTACTCGTCCTTCTCTACGAAACTGCGTTTTTTTAAAACGGCCTCGACCATTGACTCCGTCGACTTTGGAGACTTTTCAAGTAGCTTGTCTTTCCTCGACTCGGCTAATTTAGTTGTATACAATTTCAGGGTCTAAGTAAAAGAGAAACAACAAAAAGAAAATAACCGAAAATCATGCAAAGGCTCTTGCAGAAGTAGAATCAGATTCTACTTCTAGAAAGACCCTTTCCGACGTGCATGTGGGCCTCGTACAACTAAACGTATAATTATTCAGATTTTAATCTTATTAATTATTTAGTTATAATTATTTCAGATCGAAATCTGACTAATTATAGGCCTGAATATATGCTATCGATAAATCGCCGAGTCGATTGAGCATCCCTCGTTATTAGAGCGCTAAATTACGATCCGATTCACTTAAGTACCTAGACATTAAACCGAAGATAACCAAGTTTGCGGATGAGAGGATATTTCCGGGGGAGAGTATTATCAATGACGAAATTCACCTCGCGGTATTGTAATTATTACCGTGTTACGTTTTACTGCATCGTTAATTGTAGTTTCGTACTTCTTTCCTCGTGTTTAAGGTTGTCTTTATTACGATTATGAACGATAAGAAATGGATCGCCAAGTCCGCGAACTCGAAGAAGTAACGTTTACTACTGTAATTGTATAATAAAATCGAGTATGTAGAAATCAGGATTGTTGATTTTATCTGACATTGACGTTAATTTAACGCACTTAGTTCCTTCTCACAAAATTTCCCTCTGCTGAAGCTTGCGCAGCGGTGAGAAATTGCCGACTCTATCATAATTTGGTAAGACGTCAACAACGCGTTAGTTTTATCGACTGCACATAGATGGCGCCACCGATCTCTTCTTAAGACGACCAGGAGTTTTTTTTCTCTTTCTTGCTGTATGAACTGTTTACATTGCAACTCGGTCGGTAAAAAGCAAAAGGCGGCTAACGCTGCATTCAGTACCAACTCTTTCTGGTGTCGAGCCTGGTAGTTACCTAAGTCATGTTGAGCGCTGCTCGTTATTTCGCAGTAATACTAAGAGATGGCGCCACTATAAGAAAACCGGCGCAGATGCCTTCGTGCTTAGTATCAATGCCATTTATTTCTCAAAATCGATGTCCATTGTATTCGTCTCTTAAATCAGCGTTCATAATTGTTCGGTCACTAACCTTAGTCGCATGAATTTCAAGTACAATATGTACGAAAACGTACATACATTAAGGTCCGTAAGTTACAGGTATAAAAGGTGTCTAAACGCGTGGGCAATAATCCTCGGCTAGAAGCTTACCTTTAACGAAAGTGAACAAAGTTAGAAAGATGGCAGAAAGAAAGAAAGAATCAGGATGACCGTTAGAGGGCGGTTCCGAATAATTCCCCCGGGAGCGAGAAGAGCTGCGCCTTCGGGAAACTCGAACCCCGAAGAGGCAAGGAAACGCAACAAAGCACAACAACGAAGTTCAATTAAAACAATAACAAATACATATATCTCTCGAAATGTGATACAGTAGGTTTCCCACCTTGGTGGGCTCATTCGTGTTTCACATTACATAATTCTCATTAATGTTCGTTAATGGATCGGATGATTTTTTCGCGACGGTATCTCTCTTAACGTCCGCGGCTTGCGCCTCTCTTTCTTGCGATCCGAGCGCCTCTCGTGGCTCCCTCCGTAACTACCACCTCTGCAAGAGTAACTCGCTCGATTCTCGGGTAAACGGTTAGTAAAAAAGGTCTTTTCCGCGAGGCCATGCCGCTCCGTCTCACCGGGTCGGGACGAAACGATGCCTAATCTTAAAAGTTGCCCGCAAAATGCGCAGCCACGGATGCAAAAAGTCGGTCGTCATCTCGTGGCCGGTCGAGGTGTCGAGAGAACGGGACCGCTCCCGAAGACGAGAGCGTCCTCGCGCTCGACTCGGTCTCGAAAAAGAAGAGGCGCGCGGGTCCACGTAATAATTCTCTATCGAACAAAATAAACATCTAAAAACTTAAAGGGAGAAGGCTAACGTCGCGGCAGCCGCCCCATTTAGTCGAACACGATTGCCGCCATTTTGTCGTAGGCGGTGATCTCTCGCGATCCAATCGGGAGGCGCCGTCGACTACCTCTAAGGCGCATCCGCAAAGACGTCGCGTCGACGCTTTCCGCGCACCCGAGTGCCTCTCGCGGTTAACGTGAGAACTAGACTAAAAGTACGTCTCTACCTTAATAGTAAAACAACTAGAATCACTGTGTAACCATCACCACGTGGATACGCTACGATATTAACCTCTCTCGGGAGAACTAGGACCTAGGTGTCGTGCGCAGAAAACGTCGTTTACCGACGTTCTCTCCTCCTGGTTCATCCTCAAACGTCTTCTCCTCGTTAAATTTCTCGGCTCTGGTTAGAATTCAATTTTCTTCTCTCTCGGACTCATTGCCGCCATTCTCTCGGTCGCAAGTACACGCGCACACATATATACCCTTTTAGCTCGCCTCTCCGCCTACATCGGCTCGCCTAATAGCGACGAAAGCAAAGCTGCTGTGCTAAAGATCCTTTCCTCGCTAATCGGATGCTTCAATCTTTGTTCTGCTTTGATTACGGTCGAAACGGGTTTCCGAGGTGGGCCGCGCCACTCCGTCATGGCGGACCTCCTTCGAGAGCCACGGAGCGTGCGCGCGTTTCCGTCACTTTTCTCGCCTTCTTACCGAGAAATGCTCATTGAACGGTGGTAAGAGTAAAGCTGCCACCGCGTACGAGCGTCCCTCGCAAATCCGGCGTCTTAATTTTCATTCGGCTTCGAGTAATGAACAAATTAAATCTCCAGGTGGAGCGCGCAACTCTTTAAGGGTGATCTCAAGGCATAGAGCATGCAGGGTCGAGACGCGTGCACGCTGTACCGTGGTACTGCCCTTCGAAGTTAAGTCGCGTGGAGCTTTCCCGCCGAATTTAACCCCACTAATCGGCCCGAAGTTTGCCGCCAGTTGAGCGTGTTCGAACGTGGGATTTAAAAGCGGATCGATGAACATCGCGGACGCAAATCAGGCCGAAAGGTGATCGGGGTCGTTCACGACCATCGAACTAGTCTTTCCCATCGAATTTCGCAATCTAAAATGAATTCGAAGTCGTTCTCTGCAAAGTGGAACTCGCGGTTTCCGGGGGTCACACTTCCGAGGGTAGAGTCAGCCGATCGGAAAGCGGAGTAGCGATTAAGGCGGCTGATCGGCCGACTCTAACGACGAAGTTCCCCGGAAACAATGGTCCAGGGAGAATTTGAAAAGGTGACTTTTGATTCGCCGTATCAAGAGGCACGCGCTGACAAAAGGGACTCCGGCGAATTGTAATCGACATGCGTACATGCTCCGCAATTCGCTCCGCAATTCCTGCGTCGCCAAGCCGACGAGTTGGCTCGTGATTTTCTCCCCTTTTTCTCTCTTTTATCCTACTATGTACAAATTGAGAACCGCGATCCCACGAATTTTCCGCGTTTAGGAGGTGCGTGACGTGAGACTACGCGCCCGTTAAAAGGCACCGAAATTAAGCTCCCGAAATTCACAGTAAACTCTTGCACCGCCAGAGGGTGCTGGTAACTCGTTCGCGGAACGCCCGCCGAGGCGTTCCATGTGTTAGCTTCCCCCGGGAAGTCCAAGATGGCGTCGAGCCTGCGGGCGGGAAGTTTAAACCCCAGAGTAGCGTCCAAAATACGAGGGGTCGTCGCGGGGCTCTAAACTGGAAACTTATTCGAATCTCGCGTCGAGCCGTCGCAATTTGAACGCAACACCAACGATCGATCGCCGCGAGAGATCGATCGACACGCGACAGATTAATCGAGAAAACCATAGAAAAGAGAAACGTCAAAGGCAACACGTAGTACCGCATAACGTAAACCCCAGTCCACGTGTAAGCGTTCCAGTTTCTCAAAACATTTAAAACATGATTCCTCGATTACGCGAAAAGAAGAAAAATGGCTCATCGCGTATCTACCCGATTCCTCGATATTTTGAGAATTAGAAACAATCTATGATTAAAGGAAAATCCGAATGACAGTGAATTGCGTAGAAACGCGTACTGGAACGCTGACTGGAGGATACGCGGCGACATTCGGGGGCGCATTTGATTAACGAGACCATTTTGGACGGCCACGATGGACGGCCATTTTGGTGAACCCTGAAGAAGACCTTCCACGTTCCTCCCGTCTACGGAGGAGGCCGATCGCGTCGCAACCGCGCGAACGAGCTCGCGACTCGCCGAAAGAAAGGAGGGTTACGATCTAGGGGAGGGCAGAAACTAGGAGAGAAGAGAAAACAGGAAAAACTCCCTAGTGTTACGATCGAAAACGTCGCCTAGGTTAGTTAGTCGCGTTGCGGTGCGGGGCTTAACTTATTAGCAGCGATTGGCTTATGCGCGCGCGCGCTCGCGCGTGTGTCGTGTCTTTGTATGCGTGTATCAGGTGTCTCTATGTGTATGAATGTCCGTACGAGCCCACCGAGACGTCTCACAGACCAGCCGCGATCCCTCGATCCCAAAAAAGGATCCCCAACACCCGCGACTCCTAATTGCACATCTCGTATAACTTCGGAAAATTCCATCTCCGGGAGTTCTCTCTACTCTGCAGGGCATTTCAAAACCAAGCGCTCCTACGGCACCGCGAGGAATCCCAAGGATTCCAATGAGACCTCGCGGAATCCACATCCGGGGACCGGTGAACCCGCAAGGATGCGTCCCACGAGTTAGCCGACGTCTGACGTCCGTACGCAAACACCGTCTCCGTCGGGCAGATCCCCGGGCCAAGATCTCGAACTCTGGCGCCAGGAAGCTCTCCAAAGGATCCATTGACTTCCGGTGAAAGCGAAATATCCGGGCCAGGATCTCTGGCGCGCAAGAAATCCTTTAGGTACGCGCGGTATGTGAGACGCCGAAAGGGCGCACGGGGGTGGCTGTCGCTTCTTTAAACATAGACGCAGGTATCTTTCTCTCTCTTTCTCTCCCTTTCTCTCTAGTACTATTCGTACTATATGATATCGATATTATATATAATCTAACTATACATATAACTATGTACAAGTCGAGGCTGAACCGGGATGGGACGTGGGTGGCGGGATCAGCGATGGAGGCGAGGAGCGGAAGTTCTTCGGTGGACGTCGAAGTCCCGAGTCCCGGCTCCCTTCCGCTCTCTCGGGTGGACCCTCGAGGAAGGTCCTGCTCTTCTCCCGCGGTGTTTCTTCCTTTGGAACTCTGGACTCGACGGCTTTTCTAAGTGGAGAAGAGGCCAGTCGACCTAGGCCTTCGGTTAGACGTCCGTGTACTTGCTCAGCTTGTCGCGCAGCAGCATGTTCTCGTTCTTTAACCGGTCCAACTCCTGTCGCAGGCCCATGTTCTGCAACATTATTTCGGAAGAGACATTACTGATCGTCCTTGTCGAACACGGCTGGAAAAATCAAGAATAGAACCGATCCTGCATTCCACCCTAACCAGACACGAGTTACGAAATGGTAGTTCTATATATACATCGAAACGTCAAAATATCCATAATTGTTCCAAACTACTCGATTTACCTCGACTCGCATGAACTTTCGAAAGGTAATTATAAAAACCCTAAGGAAGACTGCGATGCTAGTGGAGTTTCATTTTTCATAAAAAAAGGGAACTTCATTTTTAGCCATTTTTAGACATGATAAATAATTATCATAACAGGTAACAATGGAGATCGGAGATCAAGGCATGAAGTAAAGGGCTTGCACAGTGAAAATGTAACGTTTGATGTTTCATGTGCACTTGGATGCAGCAAGGAAGACGTAACGGCGGTTTTACGGCGCGTGTGCGACGCATCTTGAATCGCGACTTTTAGCCGCGATATTTCCGTTTTGGTCGGCGCTCCTCCTCCGTTATGTACCAATAAATTAGATAATATCATGTAACACTATACACGGCTCGGGCCTCTCACCTCTTTCTCGAGAAAACCGGCCCTGAGAGCTATCTGGTTCTCCTTCATGCGACGTGCGTCCCGCGACCTCTTGGCCGCCATGTTGTTCTTCCTGCGACGCGCCCAGTATTTGTCATCCTTCAAGTCATCCGGAACGAACTAGAGCACCAAACGGAACGGAAATGATGGAGGGTCCGACGAGGAAAACTCCTCGTTAGCGTGGCCGATAAATATATCGCGCGATACCGGCGACCTCGGATACTCTTCTCGAGTTCGCCGGTACCAAAATGGCGGCCGGAAAGCCGAAACCTCGAAAATGGCGACGCGAAGGCGCATGCCGATAGTCGCGGCTACCCTCGATCGAGTCGGCGAACTGATATTTATTAGAATTAATCCGGTTATCCAAGTAGCATCTGACTTTTTATCGGTGTCGAATTTCTTAACGATCGATTTCGGATTATCGATTCGCCGCCACTTTGGAAGTACAGCCGTGAATAATGTATGAACCAGCGGACGGGAAAGAAAGCGAAACCGGCTAACCTGTTTCCGAGACTTCTTGATCATCGGCTGAGGTTTCAGTTCTTCGTCGGAAAAGGCGCGGGTGCGGGGATCGAAGTCTCGCCCCGATGACGCCATCGAGAGCGCTACAAGAGACAAGCCATATTGTATTCGTGACGAGTCCCCGGAATCTGTTGCGCGCAAGGGGAACCGACAAGGTGCACGTTAGTCACGGAAATCACAGTTTCCCCCTCGAGATGTGCGGCCCCATCCTGAGGGTCCTGAGGGAATTCCCATGGAAATCTTATAAAAATTCCTAAACATAGGGTCAGCAAAATAAAAAAAAAAAAGAAAACGCGTCTCCCCCGACACTTTAATTTTCATATCCGAGAATTGATAACCCACGGATAGGCATAAGAGGGAAATTGCTCGAATGATAATAATGGAGAATGCGTCTAATGGACGATATTCCGAAAATATTCTAATCTCCAGAATTTCCATTTATCGCGGAATCTGGGGAAGAAGTGGTGTCAAGAAAAATTGATAAAAATTCCCAGGACTCCCAGGGTCTCGCAGGATCGGCCATCGGCTCCGAGGGGATGGTGGAGAGTACTCTAGGAGATCATTTCCCTGGGGAGAAGTCGGATTCTCCCGACTTACTGGAGTCTGCCGGCGATGGAGGGTTAAGGGTGTCGGGTGAGCAGCATTCACTCGGCGAGGGCGACCTCTCTCGTTTGGTGACGGGCTCCAGGTGGAGGCCAGCTGGTCCCTGGTGGCTGGCCACCTCGTTGTTGGTCATTTTATGGAGCTGACCACTTTGCATGGTCCCTTGACCGGGGCCCCCCACCCCGTCCACGGGGATGCCGTTCTCGGAAAGGAACTCGTCGAGGTCCACGTACTGGAAGTAAGAGAATCGGAAATGTAGAGCTCTATCCCCCCCTAGAAAGACGTAGAAGTCCATGGACCTTCCCGAAGAAGGGCTGAATTCATCCACCGATCTCACCGTCCTAGGCGCCATCTTGGATTTCAAACTTACCGAATAACCTTCGGAAAAAAGATATGTCAGACGACATCCGCGGTGTCGAGGAGGTCCTACGGGGGATTTTAAGGTTCTAGGGACTTTGTAAAATCCCGTGGGATTTTTTTTCACCGGATTTTAAGGCGCCGGGAAGGGAGGAGATAAATAATTTATGCGGAGATTTCGACGCGTGGGAAGGTGAGTGCCTTTCGTCGACGCGGGGGCGCGACGGCTTTATCTTTCTAGGCGAGATTGTTAGGAAAAAAAAAGAAGAAGAAAAAAAAAAGAAAAAGGAAAAAGAGGCAAGGTCCTTCTCGGCAAGAAGTGTCAATGAAAAGTCCAAGGTCTCACCTGGACGTACCTGGACGTGTAACAGGAAAGGCTGACTTCGTTTAGACTTTCCCACGGAAGTCGAAGGATCCGATCGCGAAGGACTCGAGATATTTCTGTCACAGTTGATTTATAGCCGGAGACAAAGAATGCAGATCGCGATACCGGATAGTAAAGGCGGCACTCGATCGCGTTAACGATCGCAATTCTGGGGCTCGACGCGTAGCGGTAAAGTGGCTTTAAAGAAAGCTATCAAAAAGCCGATTGGCGTCGAGTCGTGTCGGAGAAAGTGAACGAGGCTGGACGGCGATAATCGATCATTCGTCGATTTCCATGCAAAATCGAGCTCCCAAGCCGTGCTCGCCTCGCCTCGACCCAAAGTCGGCGCATTCTCCCAAGCATTAAAAAAGAAAAAAAAAATTACACAGAAATGAAAAATCCCCAGAAAAGGAAAGCGCAAGGCAAACCTCAACAAAAGGAACCAACACACACGTAGTAACGAAACAAACCGTTCATTGTTTCCTAATCGAGAAAATTAACATCACAATTGCCGAAAACTCGGGGATGCAAACGTGCGTAGGTGGCCGATGAAAATCTCGCTGCGGATGTCGGTAAAGGTCTTGTCTTAGGGAGATGCATTATCGACGGAGGGGATCATTCGGAATGGGAATCGATAGGTGGAGAAGCAGTTACAAACGAAAGTCGATCTGGAAACGTTAATCACTGGCCTTACTTCCGAGCTCGTTTAGGCACACGAATGCGATATCTCGATTCTTTCTCATTTCCCAACCGTTTATCTCGCACTCTCTCTCTCTCTCTCCACAATTTGACGTGAACACAGTGATGCTGATTGGCTTACCGTCTCGCGTCTTTGTACATACATGGTTTAATACCTTCAGGTCGGCATCGTAGGGAAGCGTCTTGTCCCAGAGGTTGGGCCCGAGGAAGGCGGCCTGTGCTTCCACGTTCCCCCACAGCTCGCCGTCGGCGTCCTTCTTCTCTTCGGGTCCATCCTTGCCTTGTTTCCCTGGAACCAGAGAGAAAAAAGAAATTATTAGAACGGTCCCTCTAACCGGAAGTGCTTTTTAAAAGCCATCCGGAAAGGCTCCATCCATCGCTTTCCTATTTCAAGGCGCAACCTCTCGAAGACGTCCCGGACGAGTCGGCGACGCCGCGCGTCCTTGCGCCGCGCGAAGAAGAGGAATAAATGCCGGCGGACGGCCGTCGGGGGAAAAAAGTCGACGAGCCACGGGTAGAAGTAGCGACGGGCATAGAAACTGGAGGCAAAAAAAAAGTAGCTGAAGTAGAAAGAGCCGGCGAAACGTCAGCAGCCGCCTCAAGGCGACGAGAGCGAGGCTCTTAATGGCCCCCGCGTTCTCTCTCCCACGAAGAAATAAACATCTACCAAAGAACTATTCCCATGAAAGAAAATAAATAAATAAATTCCCAGTGGTGTTTAAATGCAGGTAATCGCCACGAAATATCCCGTCACTCTAGTTGGGTCATTAAGGGAGTAGGGAAAGACTGTAAGACAAGAGACATAAGAAAGAAACGTCTCGGAGTAGATTTTCCGGAACTCGATGGAAGCGCCTCCTCATTCATGCTCTCTCTCGTTTGCCGCGACGAAGAGGAAGGGAGGGCAAGGTATTTTTTTATTACATTTAATTACCGCGAGAGGATCATCAGTGCGCCGTAAAAAGCCCTCTCCTTCTTAAGGTGGCCTTGAAACGGCCCCCTTGCTCCTCTCGATCGGAGAATGCGCGCCAATCGGTGCAGCTGATCTTCGATCTCGTGGTATCAGGGGGGGGCAGAGAGGGGGGACGATCTTCCATATCGGTGGAGGGGTCGCATCGGTAAATCGATCTCAGAGATCGGCGAGTTCGCCGATTCGCTGCACTCGGCTTGCCACCGGAAAGTGGATAGATGGGAGAGTGGTCGGGTCGACTGTCAAGGTCGGCTAATCCGCGCCTGTCACGCTACCATGGCAGTTATCTTCCGATCGCAGGAAAATTCAAGGCGACCGCTGCGATGACTAACGTTTGTTTCATTTTTATTAGATCTGTTTGCGACGGAGGGAAAGAGACAGAGAGCGCAGTTCGGTGCCGGTTTGGTCTCGCTGGGAGTAGTCAGCTGACTGTCAAGTTGACAGCCAAGATCGGGGTTAGGGGTTCGGATGTTGAAAATCCGCGGTTGCTGACACGTGTATACCGTCAAATCGGACATACGCTGTCAAGACATGCGTTTGATAGCGAAATGGGAGTCCTGTCGGCGAACTGTCAAATTTGACAGGGCCACATCCGGCGTGCCGTCGAAGGGAAAAAGCGAAATGATAGTTACAACTAACTGTTATGTCGGTAGATAGGTACACTGTTTGCGGTTTCGATAAGTGCACGCGTAACGATAAGGATCGATAAGTGCAAGTGGAGCGATCGGTCGGCTGTCAAGCTTGACGGATCCGACTCTATCACGCTGTCAAGGCACCTGATCATTGCCGGTGCTTTAATATTCAGCCGGTTATTGCCAACGATTACTATTCATTTCACTTCCACAAAAGTGCGTTTCTCTGAGGGAAAATAAAGTGCCGCTGGGGTGGGACAGTCGCCGCCATTTTTCCCAGGCGCGGATTCGAAGACCCACGTTTCGGAGTATTTTTTATTTAAATTTTTACACGCCCTCGTGGTCGTGGAGTGTGGACAGGAAGGATAGAAAAGCTCACCCGGTGAGCGAACGAAACGAAGGCCTTCCTTCCGTCCGCCATTGGAGGCGCCTCCGCGTCGGAGGCAGGGCCCCCCATTTTCCATTCTTCTTCCGCCCCCCCGCGGCCCCCCACGGGCCTCCTCGTGCCGCTTCGCAACACGAGATTAGTTCCGCAGAGCCGCGACGGACAGCCTTGAACCAAATTACTGTCGGCCGTTGTTTAGTTGTTTAGCCACCGGCGCACAATTACCGGCCGCCCTGGCGGCCTACCCGCCCGGCCGGCTGAAACGGATCGTCGCGAAACCTCGAAAATAAAGCGGCCAACTATCGACGTTAATGTAGAAATGTCTGAAATTAATCCGCCTAGAAGTTAAGCGGACAAGTTACGGGCAATGGGCGCCCTTTGATGCCTCGAAATCGCCGTAATATTCGAGGGACGCGTTCGGGCCGAAGAAAAACAAGATGGCGGCCCTCGATGGCGGAAGTGGAGTAGGCCCGAGAGGGCGGCATTCGAGGTCGACTCTTCCCTCTTGAATTCCGTTAGCCGGAGAACCAGTTGGTCCCTTTTTCTCTTTCGCTTTCTGCGTCCTCCTTTTGCTCCTGGCTCGTTCTTTCTTTCCCTCCACCCGACAGAACTAATGACGGTCCTCGCGGACGCTTACGCAACCGCAACACGCGAGCGCGTCTTCTTCGCGCGCGGCACGCCACGTCTGCGTCACTGACATTGCCCGAAACCCATTCCTTTAGTCCAATTCATTCTAACGGAAAACCGAGCCGCCCATTTTCCTTACAGATCTTGCAATTAAACATTTTTGCCTCCTTAAGCCTATCACAATCGATTAATCGGCGGCCAGCAGAGCGCGGGATTAAGGTGGTGGAAAAATGTCCGCAATTTTTTGCACTAGATAACTTCATCTACATTACTTGTCCTCCGTGTCGATAGATAATTACGGGGTGTCGGTAATCGATTCGCGATGAATTATTAATTTTAAATGTAACCACTGGTCTTGAATGTTAATGCTCGATAATTTCAGGTTTGGGTTATTGTTTGGCCATGTGTCGGACGTGATTGAAGGAACTGATAACAGTTTAGAGGGTGAGTAATGATGCAATTAGCTTACTTTATGGAATTAGCGCATGGAAATGTCTTAATGTTAACACTTGCGGATAATTATATACACTAACGTGGATAATTGTGACGAATCGATTTACTGGGAGAAAATTCACCTTTCCACCGTTCGCAGCCTTCGGGGCAATATTTCCCTGTATTGCAGTATCACGGAACAGGGAACTTTTTTCCATGAAATATAAACATTGAACTAACGTTAATGTTTTTAATGAGATTTCATCGCCGGAGATGCAACGACACTCGTAACGATTCTTATAACACCCGTGACGTCACGAGGAGGACCGAAGTAGAAAAGGCAGGAGTAGTCAGCCCGGCGGGAATTCCGCGGCGGAACCTCCGGAAGAGGGCCCAGGATTCTCTAGGGACTTTTGCTCTCGCTCCTTTTGTTGGGCCGAGGGAAAAAGGAAGACGAGAAAAGACAGTGCCTCGTGTCTCATCCGCTCGATCTTCAAGGTCCAGTTTCTACATCAAGGCAGCCTCCGAGGACCACCGGTCCAGCAACAAAGATTCGAGATATCTTCCAGACCGGGTCCGCTTCTTTGCCGAGGCTTGTCCGAAATAACCAACGGCCAAGGTCGGACCGGGCCATCTCTAAACAAATGCGATTATTTATCTAATCGAACTCGAGAGCCTTCTCGGCGCTGCAAAAAACCGATTTTCCGCCGCCAATCGGACTGAGAACGAGAATACCGGAAATTATCCCGAGAAACTCCCGAGCCTTGTAACCGCACTTCCTCGAAGGTGCGGAATAACGATACGAGATATATATATTTATTTATTTATTCATAAATATGTATTTTCATAGGCGAGCATGTAGTCTAGAGAAATTCAGAGACGCAATTAGCGCTCCGAGTGGAAAGTTCTGCAAGTGAAAAGCCCTGAAAGAGATGGGAATCGACGCGGAAAACCTCGCGGTTGGAAAAATCCGAGTAATAAATCTCGAATTATTAATTTAATTGCTCTTACGTTAACGCGTATCGGGTGGATCAAATCGAAATTATCCGAAGAGTAAGAGCTTCCTTAACGCTCTGAAAATCGGCCCAACCCTGAAGTGTCGAACCTCCGAACGCGGGTGAACTTTAGAATTTATACGTCAACCGGAAAGGATCGACCTCCATTGTCGCTATCGCGGATGTTGCACAACCGAGGTACCGAGCACACGATACGTAATCGTTATCGATCGAAGCTGGGATCGTCGAACCCGCCGAAAAGGAGATTTCGCCAGAACTTGACCGACTCTCGATCGGCATTTTCACGATAACAAGAAATCCCCCCAACCACCAAGAAAATTGTTAAACAACAATACAATTAAAATCCCCCTCGAATCGTACAATAATAATCTGCGGAATAAATAAAATCCATTTAACGCCGATCTACGACAGAAAATTCGCGAAAAATTCAAGACAACGAATTTCCATCCTACGTCTGAATTTATTAGTCGGACCTTCGGAGATCGAAATACTGTGAAGTATTTTTTTTTCCTTTTTTTTTTCTAACGTACACGGAAACCAATTGTGCATCTCTGCCGGCACTTCCGGTGTCCCGGAAAAACAGGAAGCGCAGAGCGGAGACCTGGTGATGGCGTGTCCAGAGCGTCAAGCCGCGGAACGAACCGACTTATATCCCCGATTACTTTTTCATTATTTCCAATTCACCTTTATCCTCGCTCCGGGTCTCCACGTGGTTGTATAACCGCCGTCAGGCAACGTTGACGATCGAAAGTGAGAGGAGTCGCGAGGAAGGAGCCTTTCCAAAGTAGTCGTGCCCATTAAATTAACCCAAATCCCCCCGGAAGAAATATTCAAGTTCGAGTCTCGACGAATTTCAGGGAATCCAAAATGGCGGCGGGAGCCCAAAGAGCGGCGTCTGCGGTCGATTCAATTCGCGGGGCAACAACGGCTCGCACTCCGGAGGAGGCGGCACAGGACACTGACTTACGGGCGGTAAATCTCGAATTGTTGTCAGTGGGCAAGGATGATTTGTCGTGCGGTGAGCCGCGATCGTTAATACGAAAGAGCGTCCGGCGCGTTTCAGTCAGATTCCATTATCCCGACTTAACGATAACGCCGCGTCGCGCTCTTCGTTAATCACCGACGCGGGGCACGCGAGTCTGTCCGCGCGAGAAGTAGTCCCGAAAAGGGAAGCGTATTTCGGGGCGGTTGCGGATTTCCAAGATGGCGCCCTTCCGGATCCAAGGCGTT